CACACACACACACACACACACACAAAGGTTTAACAACTGGGAAGTCAGTGTGATAGAGCAGCCACTTCTTGCAGGCTTCGCACACTCAGGGCTCCAGGCCCTGGGACACCATCACACATTTTGCCTCACCTTCCGGCTACTATTCCTGGTGACTTAGCTCCTCGTCCCACCACATTTTCTAACTCAGCTTCTCTTCTGCTTGGGCTAAGTTTATGTGTAGTATATTGACAAAGGACATGGCTTCTTTAGAAGGTCATCTACTAACTAATATAGAAGGAACTAAGGGACAGACAAATTTTAGTTTGTCCTTGAAGGTTCCAGTTGATCTCGGGGCTCCCGCTACGTCCTCACAAGTCACAGTTCATCCATGTGCTGTCCTCACCCAGCTCCCCTTGCCAGATCTGTGTCTTGTGGAATTTCTGTCATTACAGGCTCAATATAAGATGCAACAACAATGGCTTTGCAGAGACTCCTCCTCAAGCTCCAACACATGCCTGAGGTCTAATCCTTACAATCGTTCTCTTACTCTACATCAGCTTTGGTGGTTCTCCTTTGATTGTACGTAACCAACACAAAACCTAAGTGAAAACAGCTAGGCAGAAGATACTCACATCTATTCAAGGTAATTATACTTAGAACTAGGCTGTGAGCACTTTCAAGTGAAAGTGACACATTAAATAACTGAGGCAACTTTACATTAGAGGACCTTTATACACATTCTGTATGATCTACTTTAGGATCAACAATTCAAGAAGAAACATATTATTGATGCACTGTGTATTAATTATTGTTATTCTCTTATTTACCTTTGAACATGAATAAATTAATGAAATTCTGTTTTATTTTTCATTAAAACAATAGATGGGTTATTCACCTCAACAGGAAATTTTTAAAAAAGGAAGAAGATATTGCACCGGTTTCCAAATGAGACAGAAGCAGGTCTTTCTTAGAATTTATTCTTCTTCTCCAGACCACAGATGAGGCACAGATGTTCCCTTCTTATGCAGGATCTGCAGGTGCTAGTCTCAGCGAGGCTGCCACAGCAGGGCCTTTCTCTTACAGAGCTCCTGAGTTTTTGTTCAGCTCTTACTATCACTTCAAACACTGTGTTGACCAAGAGCACAGAAATACTTCGCAGTATCTCCCATCTCTAAAGCTGAGATGGTAAGGCTGATGGACTTAGCTACTTTCTGGAAGTTGAGAGAATAGCGGCCGCTCTTTGCTGTCTTCGACTCAGAAGAACGATGATGAATAATAAAAATCATGTCTCCGGTGGGAAGTTGCTTGTACCAATAAAGATAGTATGAACTAAAAGTTGTCTCATAGGAGCAATCCAGGGTGACTGCTTCCCCTTCTGGCTTTGATTCAGCTGACTGAACTTGAGTCATTTTCTGGGCCACACTGGATCCTGTAGAAACAACCAGAAAACAGGGCTGATCCTCTCATGTAGTGAATAAAAGTTTCATAAGAATTAGGCTAATTTAGGATCCTAAATTAAACCAAACTAAAGTCAGAGTTTCTTTTCTCCCATCCCTTTTTCCTCTAGCCCAAGTAAAGCAGTATAGGGCAGTGAACCATACCAGAGTAGATGAAGGCCACAGCCACCCACAGAATGATGGGGGACAGCATGTAGTCTGTGTTTCTCTGCAGTGTGTTCGTCTCTGAATGCCTGGCCATGTCGATAAGCACCTGCAGGGTTTCTATGCTGCCCCTCTAAACAGGAAATGAGGATCCTTGAGTACATAGACCACAAAGTCTATGTACAGATGAGAAAAAGTACAGTCACACCAAGCTGTTCCTCTACTTACTTGTCTACGCCAGGTAGTTGGACCTAACAAGGAAGTCTGAGAATGGCAGTTAGTATGGAGCTTTGGAACTCAGGGGAGCTGAACATTGAGCTATTTGAGACACACTAGTGTTAATCAGTAGAATAATTCAGGAAAATTGATTATGACACCCTGACTTTCCCTTCACTCTACTTATTGGTCACTGTTTAACAAATATTTACTCTTTTCCACCTAATATTTCATGCAATACAATTACTGCATTTCTGCCTTCGCATTTCTAAGATATATTTATAATTCATAATTCATAAAACTGTTCTAAATCAAATGATACAGTCAATCCTCATGCCTTTCCAAAGGTATTATGTTTTTCATGAAATTTTAATCAGAAGAAAATGTTACCCTTTCAAAGAGTGACACTGAGTTTTACTTCTTAGATTTTGAGAGAACAAGGATATTCAGTCCCATTGCCTTCTCATAAAGAATGACTCAACAGCATTGGTCGAAAGTATTGAGATTCACTTGTCAAATTCTGTATTTTTATTTATTTGAATGCTGAAAGCTCTCAAGAGCATAGGATCACCACAGCAATGGGTGGCTCAAATTTTGAGTGCTATTATGTGATTGTGCAGCATGTAGATATTAACTTTATATTTGACAATTGCATCACTTTATGAATTAATAGAATGTAACCAAGAGAAATATAGACAACTAGAAAAACACACAAAGTCTGTACCAAAGTTCTGATTCTTGGTGCAGTTATGAATAACATATCAGTGAATGGTACTGGGAAGATCTTCCAAGTATTGGAGATATCCTCACTGTTGTATTTCACCTCTGTGTGCTGGCTTGGGATTATTTACACCTAAGCACATGGAGATCACAGAAGTCCACAGTGTCCTGGGGGAGCTGCAGGGTATCAGGGTTTCCCTCCTGTTCAAAAGGCTACTCTGTGCTGCTGACACTCCACCCCTCATCAGTAGGTAGGTGTGTGTGATTTTTGTGATGGTCAATTGGAATTCTCCATGGCACCTAGGTTAGGAAATTTGCTCCTTCCTAAACATTGTTTGGTCCTTCCTAGTGATTTAAGTAACAAATGATACTAACTAGTAAAGGATAAACCCTAATATTTAAGGAAGTACTCATGAGAGATAAATCACTGAAAATTTCCAAGTTTAGTAAGTTAATTTATAAGATTTGATTGGCATATCTGAAATCAAATATGAATTTGTGCTGTGTTCACAGACACTCAAGTTTTGATTTCCTCCAGTCTCATCCTAACGTGAAACACTGACCAATCCCTGGTTTCCCTAACAGAGACAAATCAGAATCCCCCCTGTCTTCTTCCCCACTCACCTCAAAACCTGGCAAGAACAAACTTCACAGTGCCGGAGCATTTGCTCAGAAAGTTGAGATCAAAAGAGGCTTCCACATTCAGACATCTTGCCAGCTGTGTATTATAGTGCTAATGGGAGCAGCAAAGTATATTTATAAGGAGACTGTGCTTAATTTTATTAATTTAATTAGATGAACAGAGAGACTCATAGCCCTCCAAATTCCAGTATTTAGGTGTTTTGCTGCCATGAGTGACCCTACGCTGGAATTATTCTGTGGATCCTGTCATAGTTTTCAGGAAGATAAAGCTTTTCCCAAAATGCTGTTTCATCAGAAAAAATAGTCAACACTGTTGATGGTATAAATTCAGTCCAAAAAACATCCCTCTTTGGATATTGAATGAGTAATGATTCTCTTCGACTTTACGCTGAAAATTTGTCTGGTTAGAGAGTAAGCTTCCAAAATTCCAAAAGATTACTTTTGCTTGGCTGGCCCATAGAAAAAGCTAATAGAGAATAATTCAATCAGTCTATGTCAGGTTGTCTTCAAATTTTCCAGGGTTCTTTTGTAAAATTCCCAAAGTCACATTCCATGTGAACCCACCTAATCACTACTGAGGTTCCCAGAGCATCTGAGTTCTGGCTCCCTCCTTCATCACTGACAGTGCCACTGTTCTGATGCTGACCTCCATGCTGAACACTGTCTTCTATTTTAGTCGTGTATATTTACATCTACTGAAAGCTACTCCAATCCTTTATAAATTCTTTACAAAATTGTTGATTTATGTTTCAAACTAATAGGAAAGGGAACACATGTTTGAGACACAGAGGAAATTCATATACTGACCTCTTCTGGTACATAGCTTTCTGCCGAACTATTTTATTTTTCACTTTCTCTTTTGCTGTGGTGACAAATTATAGATTGTAGATTATGGAAGGTAGCGTTTGGGTTCTGTGTTTCATGTAGAATATCCTTTACTCATGTGTGGGTGCCATTTGTTGTTGTTGTTTTGTTTTGTTTTGTTTTTTGAGGGACTCCTGATATTGCCCACGCTGGCCCACAGCTCCTGGGTTTAAGCGATCCTTGTGCCTCAGACACCTGAGTAACTGAGAGAACAAAAGCACTTTACCACAGCTAACTAAACTCTAATTCATACACAAATTAAAGTCTTTTCTTCTGGAATTTCTGTTGACACTTATGCAGTGTAGTGGCAATGTGCCTTGAAAAGTTATAGATAACGAGGGTTCCTGTCTGCATTCTGTGGACTGGTATAAATTTGTGCTGGCTGCTTTTCTTTTAAAAAATTATTTTAAATGTAAAACATAATTGTCCCATGTAAAAATAAAGAAAATTATATATAGACACCTTTACACCCAGCAAAGTCAGTATATAGATTTTTAATTATATTGTTTTCATTAGATCCTCCCTCCCTGTGTCTCTCCTTCTGAACACACATAGTAGATACATCAAAAGTATTCATCCCTTTTCTTTGGCCTCTCTTGCAAAAAAAGAATTGCTACTGGGGAGATTCCCTACAGGTCTTTTCAAATTCTGTATTTGTGTATCCAAAGCAACATATTTTATTTGTATTTTGAGATTTTTCATAAATGGAACCATGTGACATTTACTATCCCATTATTTGCTTTTTGGGGTCAACACTATATTCTTAGAATTGTCGTAAAGTGTGTGTAGTACCACTGCTTTTCTGAAAATAGCTTTGCATGTTATGGTTTAAATAAACTACTTTTTATATCACACTGCTGATTGATTATGTTTATTTTTATTTATTCATTTTTTGATACTGGGAATTGAACTGCATTTGCCAGGCAGACACCATGCCACTGAGCTAAATCCCCTGTCCAACAATGATTATTTTTTTAAAAAATAATGTTTCATCCTTATAAATTATACTTTGTTCATATGTTTGAATTTTTAGCCCACCAGAATTGGAATGACTGGGTTTGTAGATTTATATTTTTTTAAACAGTTTAAGCAAATTGGCCTCCTAAGTGACTATATATATTTTTCTCTATATAGTTGTTTACTTCCATCTTATAAAGTCTAATAGCCCCATCTCCCTATATTCTTCTTGTCACTTCATATTTTCATATTTAATTTTGTCTATCTGATAAAAATGACATAGCAATTTCTTTTACCTTTGATAACTCCGAATAATTATATTGTACATTTTCACTAATAACATCTCTTTCTTCTGCTTTGAATTACCTTTTATTCTTCTTCTATTTGGATTTTTTTGTATTTCTTCATTGCAGTTTCTTCTCCAAACTTCATTTCTAATATTTATTGATTATGACCTGTAGAAGTACACCCCTGTAATGTGTCTTTCTTAATTTTATCATGGAGAAAACATACTAACTAAAAAGTACTGTTTCATTAAAAACTCTGTAGGAATTTCTATTATAATTCCCAATCAACTTTTATGCTTATAAACCTTTTTAGTTTTTCTTTTTCTTCCTGAGCTATTTGGACAATATATATTTTCTATTAAATTTTTTCTTTCCCTAAAAGCTTTAAAATTTATTAGTATCAATTGCATGCAATTTTTTAACAAATTTTTGTTGCTACGTGAGATATCTCTGCTGATTAGTCCTTCTTATTTCTGTTTTCGTGAGTTTCTGATTATTGCTGTAAGAAAGTACTGCAAACATGATGTCATAAAACAACAAAAATTTTCTCTTTAGAATTATGGAGGTCACAAGTCCAGATTCGGTTTCACTAGGGTAAAACCAAATGAGTTTCTACCTGCGTGATTTTGTCTGTAATCCAATTTTATTGTTCCTTCAACTTAACATTGGGATTTCTCCTCTACAACTCACATGCCAGGTCCAGTCCTAGAGCTAAAAATGATGCTCCCAGGATCTTGCTATTCCCCCTGAAGCCGGGGTTCAGTGCAGACTCAAGTGGTTTTCTGTTCTTCCTAGACTGCTGGAGCTCTGGCTCTAACTCACACCCACTTTTATTCTTTCAGCAAGATCTGCCCTTTCACAAGTGTTTTCACTTAAAACTCTTTGTGGCAAAGGAAACACTTCTGCATTTTGTCCACTTAGAATTACTGAAAATATAGTCATTTGCAATTCCCCTCCTTAAATACAGAGAGACATCACTTCAAATTTCTCTCTCTTAATCTTCTTGTATGCTTTCCTCACACCTCCTAGAATATTAAAACTCATATGCTGTAACAGTTGCATAGGTCACTGGAAATCAGGTCATTTACAATTAGATGGAACCTTATGAATCTAGGAGATTAACATCTACAAGGACATTTCAGTATTATTACAAATACTAATAATGTTCAATGAGGACATACAGTGGGCATAATATCCCTCTATAAATTAATGTCATGGATCAGGAAAAAGAGGGCATAAAGGTTTACGCTCTCCACGAACCTCAGTTTTATTCTGCTCTTTCTGATGTGTCCATAATTCAAACCCTAAGAAATGATAGAAAGTAGTTAAGTTATGGGCATTTTCTTTGTCTTTTTTACTCAGAAAATACATTTCATA